TCTAACCATCAGAGACAGCTTACCTGTCACTTACCTGTCCTCACAGTTCTCTGTGGGAGGGGCTGCTAAAGAAAATACTGATTCTTGGAGACGTCTCACTTAGAAATTCTGACTCCCTTGCTCTAAGGCAGAATGAAGAAAGAGAATCCATATCCTAAGACATGATTCTGGATCATCCATAACACAGTCATCCATTCTCTTAAGATTTGCCTATTAACAATTGGCTTTGCACAGGATGGTCTCCTAGAGATCATGCGGACAGCAGAAGTAGGGTGGATCCCAACTCTGAGAATCCACAGTATGAAAGTTCATGACTCCTCCAGGAACCTGCAATTCATTCTTTCCCCCTTTGTCTTTTATACAACCCAGGGATGCAGGTGAATAAATACTAGTGGTGTATTCCACTATTAGCAAGTCAGGAAATGGTTGTTCAGTATTTGGGTAGGATCCTGTTACTTAAGATATGATCCTGACTCTGTGTCAGAAATCATCTCTCAGCCCATGTAAGGGTGGACTATGCCAGAAGGGCTCCGGAAAGCAGCCCCATGAGTCTGTAGCATGTGATTATATGGTTATAAAGACCTTATCCTACAGTCACTGTGTGCTTGTCAGATGCCCAGCACCGTGTACCATAAATCTCTGATATCCTTTAAATTGTTGATGGCTTTGTTTGTGTTGTTCACAGTTATCACACCCGTTTATAGTTGTTAGATGAACAGGTGGGTTATCAATTTATCTAGCCTGAGATAGTCTTTTGAGCTAAATAGTAGATGGCCCAGATATTCCAAATCTCTAGGAGGAAGTCTAGGGAATCTGTAATTGTATCATGCTCTTTTGAAAGATTATGGTTAGGTTTGCAAAATAGGGAGTTTGGACCATGTCTCTTAAGGAGCATTTAAGTCCCTTGGGCAATATTCTTGTACTGTGTTCAGCTTATATTGTACATTCTGAACATAAGAAATTTAGCATTTCATATGGATAGCTTATACTGTCATCCATACAGAAGCCAGGTTACTTTAACTATTAAAACCTTAACAACAAAGTGAATTCCGTTTTTCCCCATTTTCCCCCATTGCTCTTATCTGGCATCCGGGGAAATAAGGTTCTGTTTCCCCTACATTCATCTGTCTAGAACTGTCACAGTGAAAGTTTAACACCAGACTATTTTCTGCTTATTAATGGATCAAAGCAGAGGAAGGATGGACAATAAGCCCTGGTTTGATCTAGCAGCTCTCACTTCTGCATTGACTGGAAAGAGCCCTGTGCTCTGAGGATGGGGGAGCACAGCCCTTAGCTGGGTGTAGTGGGGACACCTGATGTCTCAGCCCTTGGGAGACAGAGGCAGGAGCAGCACACATGGGAGAACAGTCTAGATACCAGCCACGCTTAGAGCCAACAAGAAACTTGTCTCAAATAAGAAAACTTACACAGAGAAGGAAATGAGACTCTTTAACACACCAGTGAATGGCCTTGTGTAGATGTGGGAGGTCTCCAAACTCCCCTTCTCCCATATGTGAAGTAGGAATAAGAAACATCATGCTAACCAGGAGTATAAAATGGAGGCGCTAACAACAACGAAACCCCGAACAATAGAAGTCATTAAAACTGTAGTTCACCTGTGTGGTTGTGCTTACTGACACACAACACTGCATAGGTCAGCTTCCCTCTAAGCTCCTAAGTTAAGGGGTAACGTTTGTTTCGTTCACCGTGGCATCCTCAGCCCTTGTGTATGACACAAAAGTGCTCAGTAAATATTTGTTGAGTGAGTGAACAAAACCATTATTAGTTTATCTAATCTTTAGAACGAGTCTTCCCTTTAAGTGCTTCTGGTAAACCCCGTTGTACACCTGAGAAAATCAAGATTTAAGTCACTCCCTGAGCCAGTAGCTGGTGGAGCAGACACAGTACTGCCGGCAGACTGTCAGGGACTGACGGTCTGACTAACTCAAACCTGTGATTTGCTTCCTTCTTCCTTCACAGCTGTTGCCGCAGAGCGCTTGAGTGCAGTTGACACCTGATCACAATCCTGCCATCCCTTTCTCCCGGGGACAAGTGGGCACAGCCAGGTCAGAAGCTGGGGCTCGCAACACAGAGCAGCACTCTCTGCCCCAGCTGCTGGGGGCCTCACTGCCTGCTTTGTGAGAGCCAGATCTGGCCTTCGGGTTGCCTCTTCCTCCCACCGAACAGTCACCAGGAAAAGCAAGAACTCTAAAACTGCTCAACTGAAAATGAAATATGCAGTGGCTTCAGGCTATGCTTTCCCTTTGCTGGGAAGCACTGCCATGATAATTGTTTCTACAAAAAGAAACTACAGCTCTGGCAGGAAAAAAAAATCAACCCTCTGTTTGCTCGAACCCATCATAAACCATTGCTGGTAATTATAGGAGCTCATTGTGCGACAGTTTAGTTTAACTTAATTGGCAATTTTTTTAAAGCTGCACCACAATAAAAATAGTAAAGAACGAGTCGGGTTCTAGAGACAGAACGCTTGGCTTTGGTGAAATGTCAGAGCCTGCGTGCCCAGCGGAAGGTGGGCAGCCATAGTCCTCCTCTTTCACCTGCTTTTGTGTCTTATCCTATCACTCGAGTTCACCGTCTGACTGTGGCTTTCTGTCCTCTTACAGCGAGGCAGGATTGCAAACAGTTGTAGAAAGAAATGGGCCCCATAAACTAATTTAGAACTAGAGGATTTATGGGCCTGGGAGAGGCTTGTGCAAAATGAACTAGCTGTGTTCCATTTCAAGGTAAATAGACTCCTCCCTTTTGAGGGTTCATTTTACCTGATTTAAAAAACCTATTAAACCTTTCCCCCTAAGACTAGGGATGCTGTTATCCTCCATCCCCTCCCATAGCCTCTACCGTCATGTTCACAATTTCATCCAACCTCATTGTCACCAGCATCTCCATCAGCCACCACAACAGCCGCCACAGCAGCAGGTCCCCTTAATAATAAGAGTGATAATGACAAGCTTTCATGATCATTCACATATGTTGAAGACTAAGTCATTGATTGCAAATAATTCTCCCAACTTAAAAAGTAATTCACTAGGAAGTAGTAAGCATTAGACTCACCCCTTCTCCATCTGTCTGATGCCAAGACATGTGCTTTTATCCAGTGGATTTTTCAGTAATCTTAATGTTTAGTCTACAACTGGCCTTCATCTCTGGGGAGAAACTTAGCTCATTTTCATGTTAAACCAGAAAATAGAGGAAAACCAGTCAGATCATCATCTACTGAAGCTTGTAATTGGTCTTGTAACCTGTACAACTGGTATGTAGTCTGGAAGGGTGACTCCTGGGTGCCCATACCCATTCCAGGTGGCAAGCTTCCACATGCAGTAACCCTTCCCCATATCCCTCCTCTGGAGGGGAGTTCTGGCATTCTTTTGTGCCCAACTTGCCAGGTTCCCACCAGGCTTGGAGCTTTTCCCTGGACTGCAGCCCACTGTCCAGGGTCAGGGAGACTCTTTTCTGCTTCTACTCATCCTTTTCTCTGGGGCATAAATTCTCACTCTTGGTACCTAGGAGTTCAGAGTGAAGCAAAGCTGAGAGGCATTAGTGGTTCCATTCACTGTGAAACTCTCAGTGTTTGTGGTGACCGTGGTGACAGAGTGGTAGTTATTTTTTTAAGCACTGTTCTAAACACTTTTATGGATACTAACCGTCCCCACAACAGCCCCAGGAGGTACGTCTATTGCTTTTTCCATTTTCCAAGCAAGAAAATGAGGGACACAAATGTCAAGTGGCTTACCCAAGGCAGTGCATTTAGAAAATGGCATCATCTTAACGCTACATTGGAATGTGTGATATCGCAAAGTGAATGTTGAGTCTTTCTTCTGTTTCCTGGCAGACAATGACAAAATGTCTTCAGATGGACTGATAAGTTAACTGTTGGCTGGTGACCTTTAGTAGCTCTGGGATAAAGTGTGGTTACTAGACAAATAACAGGTTTAGAGAGCGTGCACTTTTAAGCTCTAGAGAGGGGACAACTTTCTCTCCTCAGGTTGACTCTATCATCAACGGCTAAGGATATAATTTTGTTGTTGTTGTTCTTTGAGATACAGTTTCTTTGTGTAACTCCACCTGTCCTGGAACTCACTCTGTAGACCAGGCTGGCCTTGAAGTCACAGAGATCCCCCTGCCTCTGCCTTCTCTGTGCTGGGATTAAAGGTGTGTGCCACCTTGGCCTGGTTGACTAAGGGTATCATTCACACATACAGAATGAAGTCTTTACAAAACTCCAAAAGTCCAAGGTTTGGAGGGCCTTTAGATAGCTAGATTCATAGAAGGACGCACAGTGGCTCTTGGAGGTAACACTCCAACCTGACATAGAAGCTCTGCGATCCCTTCATCTACACATTCACCTGTGTAGTTAGTCACCTGTTTCCCTTGTGGCATTATTTGTGATGAACATGGAAATGCAAATCTTTGCCTGAGTTCTAGGAACTGCCGTGCAAGTCATTAAAACCCAAGGAAGTGGTATAAGAACTCTATTTATAGGTGGCTATCACAGGCAGAGGTAAAACCCTAGGACTTGTGACTGGCATCTGAAGTGTGTAGGGGCAGTTTGGAGGACTGAGTGCTTAACCTGGGAGACCTGACTCTGTCTCTGAAGGATTAGAGGATGCTCCTCTGGTGTCCACCACTGTAGAATTGCTTACTTGTAGGGAGAAATTTTTGTGGTTACAGAAGTTTGTGTTGATTACTGTGTTGTGAAAACACAAGGAATAAGAGAGCATTTTCCTTTTACAAAAGTCACAATAGTGAAACCAAAAGCACTGTCTTTTCTAATGCATTATGTTACCAAGAAATGGTTATAATTAATGTAAGTTTAGCACCCATCTTCTGAAAGTCAAGGTTGTTCAAGCCAATGATACCTTCTACATTGTAATTGTATCCTCAAATATTCTCAAATTATTTGAGTTCAAATGCTTTATTTTTTTATTTAAAAAATCATACAAATATTTGTTCTTATTTTGTCCTCCCCAATTCCTCCCAGATCTTCCCCACCTGGCCAACTTTATGTTCTTTCCCCCTCTATCCCTTTAAAAAACAAACAAAAACAAAACCACACAAAAATTCAAAACACACACACACAAAATAAGACAATAAAAACAGAAGCCAAACGCAAAGCAAATGACCAGTAAGAGAAAAAAATGTTCAAAAGAGTCAAAATGAGACCAAGAGTCTACAAAAATAATGAGTTCATTTTGTATTGGCCAACTACACCCAGACATGCACCCTGCCCTGAGATGTAGTTAATATACCTAGTGAGACTCTGTTGGAAAATTCTAAGGTTTTCCATACCAGGGGGTATCAATTATACATAAGCTCCTTGGTTCCAGGGTGGGAACCCATGTCCACGTCCCCCTCTAAGTGCTGGCATGCCTCTGGGACCCCCATCTGGCTTGAAACTTTGAGTTCTCCCTTCCTTTAGCCATTCATCTTGGATCCAGGGAATGACAGTCTGTTCCAAAAGCATCTTGTCACAAGAGTAGCCAGTCCCCAAGGCAGGAGCTACTTGTTTGTTTTCAGTCTGGGTTAAAGCCTTCCTGACCATCCACATTCTGAGATAACAAACCTCCAGACCACTTGTGACTGAGGGTCGTGCCCGCCCCATGCAGACATCACTGTTGCCTTCATTCCTTTCTTTGTCCCACCACAAGGTTCTCATTGGCTTCTCGAAGATCTCTCTTCTTCCATGGGTGACCACATGACTTTGATTGCTTTCACTCACAGGACCACTCACCCACAGGATTCTGAGGGAAGTATCCAAGCTGGGCTTGGGGTTTTGGCTTAAAACTTGATAATGCTGTGGGATGACAATCTTTTTATCCACATAGCACTTGGTGTATACCCAACAATACGTAGCTAAGAACGTTTGTTTGACCAGTACTGCCATTGTGGTTTGTGTGAGGTCCTCTTCTGTTGGTGATGAGAAAAGTCATAACAATTGTTCCACAGGCTTTAGCTTCAGCAAATCCTCTGAGGGAGTCTGAGACTCAGGGGAAAACCAAGGTGTGCCAAGTGCTGGTACTCCATGCATCTGAACTGGGAAGAAGAGATAGTTGTCAAACAAAAAAAGAGAGCTATGAGGCAACTTAACTGAGAGAGAAGTTCGGGTCACACAGTGGCTTCAGGCTAAACATCACCTGGCAGCTAACTTAATCATAAACTATGCTATGGCAAACAAGCCTTGAGAAAGAAAAGTAGGAAAGAAAGCAGGAAGTTGGGAAGAAAGTGCTAAATACTCTATTGGAAGAAATCAGAAATTTTGATTTGGAAAAGAGATTCATTCCTGAACCAACCAGCAGATCAAAGAAATTGGGGTTTCCCTAATCAGGAGTGAGACAGACGGGAGAACTGAGCAATGGTGGCCATGTCACAGAAGCTTTCCCTACCAGGCTGCCACACAAGGGACAGAATATTTCAGCAAACCATTTTGTGGGTCAGTCCAAAGCTTCTCTCAATTAGGGTTCCAAAGACTCTTTAGTTCCAGGGAAGAATGGTCAGGATGACAAAGATGAATGGAGACAGAAACCCCATGTAGAGCTCTGTGCTCTATGTTAGAGCCTGAGTTTCACTACATTCTGAAAACCTATTTGGCGTAAGGGCGATTGTCATCATCATTATTATTTTTAATATAAATTTTATTTAAATTAGAAGCAATCTTACTTTCTGTATAAATCCCAGTTCCCTCTCCATCACATCCTCCCTTGCCCTCCACTGACTCCCCGATCCTATCCCCCATTCAATCCCCAGGGAGTGGGAGGCCTTCCATGAGGGATCATCAAAATCTGTAAAGGCATTTGGGGCAGGGCCTAGGTCCTCCCCTGTGTATCTAGGCTAAGAGAGTATCCCTCCATTGGAAATGGGCTCCCAAAGTCCATTCGTGCACTGGGGATACATCCTGTTTCCATTGCCAGAGGCCACATAGACTGCCCAGTGCTCCTAAATGACACCCAAGTTCAGGGGGCTTAGTTTGGTTGTATGTTGGTTCGCCATCTGTCAGACTGGGGTCCACGAGTTTTCACTTGCTCAGGTCAGGTTTCCCTATCATGGTCTTGAACCCTTTGTTCATCATGCCTTCCTCTCTGAAACCGGATTCCAGGAGTTTGGCTCAGTGCTTTACTGTTGATCTCTGCTTCTGCTTCCATCAGCTACTAGATAAAGGCTCTAGGATGGCATTTAAGGTAGTCATCACTATGATTATAGGGGAAGGGCATTTATGGTAGCCTCTCCACATTGCTTAGATTGTTAGTCGGGGTTATCCTTGTGGATTTCTGTATAATTCCCTAGTACCAGATTTCTCTTTAAACCTATAGTGGCTCCCTCTATTGATGTGTCTCTCTTCTTGCTCTCCTCTATTCCTCTCCCCACTCAATCTTCCTGATCCCTCATGTTTTCCTCCCCCCTCCTCTTCTCCCCTCCTCTTTCTCCTGCCTCCTTCCCCCTCCATGCTCCCCATTTGTTCAGGGTTCTTTTGTTTTTGTTTGTTTGTTTTTCGAGACAGGATTTCTCTGTATTGTTTTGGAGTCTGTCCTGGAACTCACTCTGTAGACCAGGCTGGCCCCATCCTCACAGAGATCTGCCTGCCTCTGCCTCCCGAGTGCTGGGATTAAAGGCGTGTGCCACCAATGCCCGGCTGTTCAGGGGTTCTTGACCCTTATTATGATTATAATGCATCTCTTCCTCCTTTGAGTAAATATTCATATTTTTCATTTAGCACAGCTGTAACCAATACCAAACATTGGCCCACTGATGAAACACTGGGGAGGAAGCCCAGCCCACGAACTTCCACAAAAAAAAGAACAAATTGACTGCAAAGTCCACTGAAAAGGACACAAGTTACTTTAAAGCTCAGCACCCCAACTAGTTGGTAGTCAAGGAGTTTATAGGAAGGGAGAAGAGAGTAGCTGCTTGCTGATTAATGACTGACCTCAAATTCCACTGTGTTTGGGAATCTGCTTATGCAGGGTATGGCAGGCAATTAAATGCACCTATCCTAGGATAATTGGATAGGAACTCCAGAACATAACTTAGAGACACAGTGGGTCTTTGGGAAGAAGAGTTTCACACATACGAGGACTGCCAAAAAGCTGCAGATACTCTGTAATGGGCCCTAGTACCTGCCCTTCATCTGAAACATGGGCTGCATCACTTTCTGTGCACTTAGAGTAAATGAACTATGTTGTAATGGTTCTATCAGGGTGGTGGACACTGAAGTAAAAACAGAGCCCGAGTTCCAGATACTCCATGCCTCTGAAGAAGACAGCACAGATGGACTTGCCAGACACCATGTGGCTGTAGCCAGGGCAGCTGTCCCTGGAGCCTGATGTGGAGGAATGGTTTCATTCTCCTTGGAAGACTGAACACAACTGTTTAGGTCCGGAGAGTTCAGGCCTCATCCTAGTGTGGCAGTGCACACTGTGACCCCAGCACTCTCAGTACGGGGTAGAGGCAGGAGGATTATAAATCTGAGGCCAGTCTGTCCAAGGCTAAAAAGAAAGAGAAGAATATGAAGCCTAAGGAGCAGTCCTTTTCAAATATTAAGATACATTTCAACTACCCAAAGGTGCAGATAAAAATAAAAGTGATTACACATGTCATCCATCTGTAACAGATGTTGAGTTGAAGTTTCATGCTTTACTTCAGATTATAAACAAATAAAAAATATATTCCTCCGGTGTGTTGGTTTCTCAGAAAATTGGGAATCAGTCTACTTCAACGTTCAGTGGTACCAGTCTTAGGCATATTACCCAAATGATACTCAATCATACCACAAGAGCACTTGCTCAACTATGTTCATAGAAGCAGTATTCATGATAGCCAGAACCTGGAAACAACCTAGATGCCTGTTGTGGGAATTAATTAATTCAATAGCTTTTGGGGTACTGACCCCTTCTGGGTATGGTCTGGGATGCTACAGGGAGAAGAGGTGTGATTTCTTTCCTGTGTGGTGGTCAGAGATTTGATTGCAGCTCCCTGCGTGGTGGCTCTCTAACCTTTATTGTTATTGGTGAGTTTCCCCGATAAATATTTGATATCCTTTTATTCGGACCCTTGTGAACTCCCCTACTCCCACATATGGATGCCCCTCAACTGAAGAATGGATACAGAAAATGTGGTACATTTACACAATGGAGTATTACTCAGCTGTAAAAGCAAAAATACGAAAACAAAACAAAATAAAAAAACAATGACATCATGAAATTTGCAGGCAAATGGATGAAAATAGAAAAAAAGACCATTCTGAGTGAGGTAACCCAGACTTAGAAAGACAAACATGGCATATACTCACTCAAAGTGGATATTTGATGTAAAGAAGAGGATAGCCAGGCTACAATTCATAACCCCAAATAAGCTAGGAAACAAGGAGAACCCTAAGAGGGACAAATGGATTGCCCTGGGGAAGGGGAATTAGATAAGATCTCCTGGGGAGTAAAGGGGAGGGGTTCAGGAATGAGAACATGAAGGAAAGGGATGGTCGAGGCAGGGAGTAACAGAGAGAGAGAGAGAGAGAGAGAGAGAGAGAGAGAGAGAGAGAGAGAGAGAGAGAGAGAGAGAGCAAGCAAAGATATCTTGATAGAGAAAGCCACTGTGGGTTAGGAAAAACCTGGTGCAAGGGAAATTCCCAGGAATCCACAAGCATGACCCCAGCTAAGACTCCTAGCAATAGTGGAGAGGATGCCTGAACTGACCTTCCCCTGTAATCAGATTGGCGAGCAACCCAACTAGCATCACACAGCCTTCATCTAGTAACTGATGAAACCAGATTCAGAGATCTACAATCAAGCACCAGGCTGAGGTGGGGAATCCAGTCCAAGAGAGGGAGGAGGGAATACCTGAACAAGAGAAGTCAAGATCGTGATTGAGAAACGTGCAGAAAAAGCTGAGCCAAACTTGTGGAAACTCCTGAACTCTGGAACGACAACTGTGGAGACTCTATGGGACTGAAGAGTAGTGTGCTTGGACTGAGGGGTCCATTCCCAAATGGTAGGATGCATGCTCAGCCTTAACACAAGGGGAGGGTCTTGACCCTGCCCCAACTAAATGTGCTAGACTCTGTTGACTCCCCATGGGAAGCCTTACCTGTTGGGAAGAGTGGATGGAAGGTGGATGGGGGCCGTGGGAGGAGCAGTATGAGGGAGAACTTGTGTTGGAACGTAAAATGAAATTTAAAAATAAATTCAATTTAAAAAAGAAAAAAAGTATTCCTACAGCCAAAGTCCACTTTAGACTGCTGTCCTCATTCTCTCTCCTCTCTCTTCCTATACATATGACTGAGAGCCTGTAAGCCTTCTTATCCAGGTTCCTACACCAGATAGACCTCCATATCTGCCTGTGTTTAAAGTTAATATAGATGCTATCATGGTGTGTCCTTCAATTTCATCCAGCATTAACTTTTGAACATTCTTTAATTGACACAGTAGAATATGATCTAGTTCACTTGTTCCAATTTTTCTCTCCATATATATATATATATATATATATGCATGTATGTGTGTGTTGTGCATATATATATAGTATTTTGTAATATTAGTATATGTATATGTTTCAGAATATCAATTTTCTATTAAAGAGAGTTTGACTTGTTTCTATTTGTGATATTTAATTTTGAAGTTGTCATAACTGATTTCTGTTTCATGTAGGAGGTGAATTTTTGCATAACACAACGCAATTATGAAAACTAACATTTATCCTTTTAGTGCCCAATACTCAATTTCAAGTATGATATCTGTAAATGACCACTCTGTCATTCCATTTTGAAAGGATTTAACTTTATTTTTATTCCGTGTGTTCTGCTTGCATGTGTGCACATGCACCATGTTTACACGTATTTTGAACTTTGAAGTTTAAAAGAAGACTTTTGGGCCACTGGAATTTCAGTTACAGATGACTGTGAACTGCCTCGTGGGTGTGGGGGGGGGTCATCTGCAAGAGCAGCAAGTGCTCTTAAGCACTGAACCATATCTCCATTCTTAACATATCTATCTCTTAACCAATATGGTGTTTAACTTTGACAGATTCTTGGTAAGATGTGACATTTG